ACAAGACAACATTTCAAAAATATTATCTACTGTCGTACTGACTCGAGTTTGTATTTGCTTTTGAATTTGTATTTGTTTTGGTGGCTTCACTTTCACCTATTCGAAAATCCAAAATAATATATCTTATATATATATTTAATGAATATACTTCTCTGACAGACCTCCTAACGACCTCTAGACCAACAAACTCTATCTCTTACTAATTATAACAATAACTAATTATAACACAATGTTACTGATTCAGTGATCCATTACATTATCTGAACCGATCCGCCTCAATCCAGTTTATACTCGTAATACCAACGGTCATTATCATTTCCAGATATTATAACGATTAAGTCCGGTCTATGGTCGATTTTTAGCAACCATTCATGTTTCACGTGTTGTGAAATTAAACATATTTTGATAAAAATGTACCTATTAGTAGTCTGATCATCGTCAATTAAAAAAAAACGTTGCCCCACTCTTTGATTTTCTCCCGTGTCGTGTATTTTTTTATGTAATAGATCGGCAAACGAGCAGACGGATTACCTGATGGTAAGCAATCAGCGCCGCCCATGGACGTTACGAGTGCGTTGTCGACGTTTTAGGGATTAGGGATTTGGAGATTTAGGGATTGAGGAGGGATTGGGGGTGGAGAAGGATTGGGCCTCCGGTAACCTCACTCGCACGGCGAAACACAACGCTGAGGTTGTTTCACGCCGGTTTTCTGTGGTTTTATGTGAGACCGTGGTATCACTCCGGTCGAGCCAACCCATTCGTGCCGAAGCTTGGCTCTCCCACACTTTGTTGTTGCAGTTTAAGGACGTACACGGGTCCAACATGAAGATAACCTGTTCTTATTTGACAGCACGGGTGCCATGCAACGTGTCGCGGTTTCGATTCCCGTACGAAACAACTCTTTGTGTGATTCACAAATTGTTGTTCCGGGTCTGGGTGTTATGTGCATGTGAAATTGTATGTTGGTTCTTATTACAATTATCACTTATCACTTACAAAAAGAAAATTATAATAAGTCAGGTTATCTTCATATTGTTTTCCATCACCGTATGTCAGTGGTGTCTAAATAATCTTAGAAAGTACTTACACAAAACTCGGAAAATCTCACATTGGTAATTGCCAGGTGTGTCATACATACTTAATCGTTAGCATTGTAGCATTGTTTGTTCATTATGCTAAAGATTAAGTATATAACTTCATAATTGATATTTCTACTATATTACCTTTTTGCTATCAGACTTAATCATCATCAGCCTATAAATGCCCACTACTGAGCAAAGGCCTCTTCTTACACGGAGAAGGTTAGAGCATTAATCACCACGCTTGCTCAATGCGGGTTGGCGATTTCAAACTTATAATTAGAAATTATAAGTCCAGGTTTCCTCACGATGTTTACCTTCACCGTATGTCATTGGTGTCTAAATGTTCATAGAAAGTACATATAATTCGGAAAAAGTTACATTAGTACTTGCCAGGTTTCGAACCCACACCCTCATGGATGAGAAGCGGGCTGCTTAACCTCCGGGCCACCACGTCATTCTAATAGACTCAATAGAATTATTAAAACTAATAAACATTACTGGTCGTTAACCAATAAATACCTATAAAGTTATTTATTTTTATCTTAATATAAAACCTTTATGGTAACAAGTAATGATAAACCAAAGCCAATGGTTGCTACGTTGTCAACTTTAAGATGGGCGTTACCTTTGGGGGCGTGCCCGTAACTCTGTAACCTGCGCTTGCGCATCAATGTCACGATAATTTAAATCTGCATTATTAATATTTTACTGCACAAGAAAAAAGCAGATTGCAAAAAGTTTTATAGAGTTTTCTTATTTAAATGTGAAGAAAAACAAATCTAATTAGTTATTTTCAAATACGGGCCTGTTTAGACCACCAGTTAGAAAACCGGTGTGAAACAACCATAGCGTTGTTTCGCCGTGTGGGTGAGTGTACCGAAGGCCCAATTCATCCCCTTTCTACCCCTTCCCGATCTCTAAATCACCGTAAACTTATTCCCCTAAAGGCGACGCACTCGTAACTCCTTTAATGTTGCGAGTTTCTAAGGCTAGCACCGATTGCTTGACATCAGGTAATCCGTCTGCTCCGTTGCCAGGGATAAATATAAAACGAAAAACGGAATATTAAGTATAAGTGTGGGCGAGCCATGCTTCGGCACAATTGGGTCGGCTCGACCGGAGTGATACCTCTCAGAAAACTATACGTGAGGTACCGGAAGACCAATCCTTCCCCTCCCCCAATCCCTAAATCTCAAAATCCCTATGCCCAAAAGGTCGGCAACGCACTCGTAATTCCTATGTTGTTGCCGGTGAAAAAAATACGTTTAACGCTAGACGTTATTGTTTGACAAGGAACTCGACTACTTTCAAGCCATGCTTAGAGCTCATATTCATGATCGCACATATTATTTAAGTACCTAAGCCAATAATTAATCGGTTACAAGAATGACCGCCCACGCCCCGCCCAGTCTCCGCCCACATTATAATTAACACAAAATAATTAAACCACGTGCTAGGTCATAGGCCATTTGATATTACAGGTTACTTACATTTCACTCGCATGAATCATTACTATATATAGGTATATAATATATAGTTATGTGAAAGCCAATTAAAATTAATTAAATACTTGCTTAGATACGACTGACTGACATTGATTATATGTTATTAAAAACACACTCTGAATCTAATAAATGCAAGTGTGGGAGAGCCATGCTTCGGCACGAATAGGTCGGCTCGACCGGAGTGATACCACGGCCACACAGAAAACCGGCGTGAAACAACCACAGCGTTGTGTTTCGCCATGTGAGTGAGGTTACCGGAGGCCCAATCCTTCCCCTTCCCCAATCCCTCCCTAGTCCCTAAATCTCCAAATACCTAATCCCTAAAAGGTCGGCAACGCACTCGTAACTCATCCGTTGCGGGTGTCCATGGGCGGCGCTGATTGCTTACCATCAGTTAATCCGTCTGCTCGTTTGCCGACCTATTACATAAAAGAAAGAGAGAGATCGACAACCGGGTCTAAAAAAAAAAAATTTATATTTTTTTTTTTGCGTAGATTCACATCACACATCAGCCTACATATGTATATGTTGTTGTTGAGCACTTGTATGTAGCCTATATGTTGGGCTGCTGAGCAAAGTCCTCTTCGCACACGGAGAAGGTTTGATCATTAATCACTAAGCTTACTCATAATTAGAAATTGAAAAACTAGGTTTCCTCACGATCGACGTCTCTTGCGGACGGCAAGTAAGGATAGCTCGCCACCCAACCAGAACCAGACCCGGGCGTACGGTGTGTAGCGTTCCGCGCGCGCCTCAAAAAGCCAATAGACCACCACAGACGGAGTCCTATAGGGCTGATGTTCAGCCGAAGTTGCGGGGTAAGCGCAATGAGGCACCGCGACCTGGGCGAACGGGCGGGAGAAGTCATTTTATGATATTCTCCTCACAAAAAAAAAACAGGTTTCCTCACGATGTTTTTTTTTTCACTTCATGTCAGTGGTGTCTAAATAATCATAGAAAGTAGGGTTAGTTTTTTAGAGTGAAGTATTGTAGAAGGATTGGGCTTTGGGACCCTCTGGTAACCATACTCACATGGTGGATCACCACGCTATGGTTGCTACATGCCGGTTTTGTGTGAAACTGATGTATCACTCTAGTCTAGCACATTTGAACTGAAGCATGTATTATAATTAAACTCTAAACATATTGGTACTTGGATTATATTCAGTCATGATAACTTCACGTAAAATGTTAACTTGTAGCTCGAGAATTAAATTAGAGGAAAGAAAATTATGTAAATTATCCAAACTAATATTATAAATGCAAAAGTAGCTCTGTCTTTTCTTTACGCCTAAACTACTGAACCGATTTCTATGAAATTTGGTACAGACATGGTTTGGAACTCGAGAAAGGAAATAGAATAGTTTTACCCCGAAAATCCCGCGAGAACTATGTGGGTAAAAAAGAAAATCTGGAGGAAGTCACTATTCCACGCGAACAACGTCGCGGGCAAAAGCAAGTTTAAAATTAATCATCCAAGACAACTTTGGGAACTTTCACAATAAATTTATTGAAAATATCGACTTCAAAGTCAAAGTCAAAAGTCAAAATCATTTATTCCAACTAAACCATAAATAAGTACTTTTGAAACGTCAAAATCGAATAGTCTTCTCTCAGTCCGTTCGTCACTGAAACTAGATTCTTAGGCTCTACTTACGTAAATTAAAACAACGCAAAGATTTTTACTAACTAACGAAATTTGTTTTTAAATATTAATTTATATTAAGATGCAGACGAAAACAAATTATGTTTGGATTAAGATAATAGAATAATATTATAATTGCTAGGCAGTGTTTACAACACGGAGAGCATGGCAACCAATTATTTATTTTTATCTTAAACTTCTCCACTGTGTCGCTACGTGATTTTTTAGGTATCACGTTTTCGACCAGGTTGATAAAATGTAGGTAATTTTATTCGTATTGTAATTTGAACTCTAATAGACATATATAATGTTTGTTTTGGTAACTGCTTTTTGCTTAACTTTGCCGCCGTTTCACCGCCTTTGTATGAGTTTATGTGGCATATATAAATTATGTTCTTTATTCAAATTTATGTGGAACTTAATGGCTATTCAGATATTTGAAGATGGCTATTAATATTTATTTATATTAATTTAAAAACTATATTCATTGGTTGGCTAAAAAATGTAAACAAATTGATTTGAAGTCCCACTATTAAATATATGTATAATAAGAAATTAATATTTTATTTAAATAAATTAATATCTATGTAAGCAAAAGAGAAAACGAATTATGTTAAATCATTAAATAAAAATATTTCCCGAGTTAGGTATTTGATGACACTACATTAAACTTTTAAATTAATATCGAATTAAAATAGAACATAAATTATCCAGTAAAAAAAAATACACAATCACATTAAACAAAAAAATAAAATAAAATAAACTCACCGTCATTTTGAGCGCCATTATTCCATAAACTCAACACATACACAAATGAATAAAATTAATGTCCCAAAAAAAATAAACAGGTGCAAAAATTTATAAATTTATTTATTTATAAAAAAATTAATCGAAACGTTCCGAAATAAATTTATATTCAAAAAAAATTATAAACGTATTTGTTTATTTATCGCGGAGGTGCGTATGTTGGCAAGGTTTTAAGCAAAATGATAAACGCGAACGGTGTTTGTTAACTAGATCTTTATTTATATAAGCACACATATTATATATAGTGTTATATATTATATCGGAAACATTGAAACGGCGCGTGCTATACTTGTGATATAGATAATAATTAATTTTAGAGAGCATTATCGAAAATTTGAGAACGTCACTGCAAATGTAATGTAACCGTTACATCAGCTGGCGATATTTTTAGGACGATAATATTTTTTTTTATTTCGATAAATTAATTTAGGGTTTCGTGAAATTTATTTAAATTTATTTTTATAAATAAATTACAGCTGTATTTTGAGTAATGTATTTTTTTATATTTTAGGTCGGCAAGGAATAGACGGATTATTGATGATAAGCAATCAACGCCGCTCATGGACAATTGCAACAACACCTGAATCTGTTGTTGGTTTGGGAGAGGGAATAACCTCATTCACACTGCTAAAGTTTCGTGTAGGCTTCGTTCACGAATAGCGTGAAAAATTAAAAAAACAATGTCCAACAAAAAACTAATTTAAAAAAAATACCTAGTCTTCTTTCTCTATTTAATCAACACGTGTCACGCTTCTCAAAGACCAAAGTTCGATCCTACAATTTAATTCTTAATTATTTTCTTATTAATTAAGTAAGAATATTTATACTATCAGGTGACTCAGATTAACCTGTGGGGCCTAGACGGATGCCTTTCTATATTAGTCATCAATACATCTTGTAAATTAAAATGATTTCATCATCTTTTTTTATAAATTAGATCGGCTAACGAGCTGACGAATTACCTATGGTAAACAATCGGCGCAACGCCAAACGGGTGACGAGTTCATTGCCGGCCTTTTGGGGATAAGAGTTTCGGATAGTTAAGGTTTGGGGAGGGATGTGGAGAGGGGATAGATTAGGCCCCCAGTAATGTCAGTCGCTCCACGAAATACAACGCTTTCATTTGTTTTACATGTATCGGTTTTCTGTAAGGACGTGGTAGCACTCCAGTCGAGCCGACCCACTCTTGCCAAAGCTAGGCTTTCTCACACCCCACACTCAGCTCATATACAAGTACCGACTGCTGACCAAAGACCTCATCTCACCCAGAGTATATTTGAGCATTAATCACCATACTTGCTCAAGTCGGAAGGGCTATTAGGATTACTGCTTAGCAACGCCTCCACTCGCATGGAAAAGGTATCTAGGAACTAAATAGGCACAATTTACAAGGAAAAATCCTTTGTTTTCGCGATGAGATAATTTAATTTTCAATTAAAAACAACACTAAGTTCTATGAACGATAAACCACAAAAGATGTGAAAGCAAATAATTATTTTTTTATCCTACCTACTGTTTGCACGTAATCGGACAAAACATCGCTTCTGTCTGAAGTCTAAAGATAATGCAAGTCTAGCTTCATAAAAAAGAAAGTAATCTTATCTAGATACAGTAATCAGTTTCATAACAAAATGATTCATGATGACGTAATATGACGTCATTTCTTTAAGTCATTTTTACACAGAGAGATGTTACTTATCTCATCATCACATCATCACTGCCTGCAAGGGTTGCGAGGCTAAATTAATAAGGTTTTTATTTACAATTTCACATACACAAGACACCCAGACCAGGACAACAATTTATGGATCAGTTGCGCAGCCATGGCGCCAACCGTACAGTCGCATAGCGCCAAGCTTCGGCACGACTCGACCGGAGTGATACCACGGCCTCACAAAATACCGGCGAAACAACCACAGCGTTGTGCTTCTTCGTGTGACTGAGGTTACCGGAGGCCCAATCCCGCCCCTTCCCGATCTTTATATCCGCAACCCCTATCCTCAAAAGGCCGGCAACGCACTCGTAAGTCCTTTGGTGTTGCGGGTGTCCATTGGCGGCGCCGATTGCTCACCACCAGGTAATCCGACTGCTCGTATACCGACTTATACCATAAAAAAAAGTCGCGTACCATGGCCCCGGTGACAGTGTCAGTAATAGTCTGATACTCCCTGCCACCTCTCGGGAGAAGTAATTTAATTATTTTCCACTCACTAACAAAGCCTATGAGTACGCCAATATTTCTTTCCATCCCCAAATCTATCATTGAAACTCTCTGAAATCCTTATCCCTTTTTTAATGACTTCTCCCGCCCAAGGAAAGCCGAGAGAGAGAAACCCTCCCGTTCCTTCTCCTGCTTTTGGCCGAGGCCGCGGTGCCACATTGCCCCTACCCTGCAACCCCGGTTCAACATTAGCCCCGTCTGTGATGGTGTATTGGCTCTTTGAGGCGCGCGCGGAACGCTACGCGCCGTACGCTCGGGTCTGGTGCTGGTCTCTCCGTCCGCAGACCCGCACTTATGGTAGCCGGAGATCATCTCGCGAAATCCTTATCCCTGACGGGCCTGCAACGCACTCGTAACTCCTCGGTATTGCGAGTGTCCATGACATGATGTCCTGTTTACCATTGGGGAATCCAAGTGATAGTTTGCCGTTTTATCACATAAAAAAACCACGAATAATTAACTAATAAGTTTTTAACTAATAAGATTTAACTAATTTTAACTAATTAATTTTTAACTAATAAGATTTAAACTTATTAGTTATTAGAAATGATAAAGTCCACGTTACCTCACATTTTTTTCCTTCACCGTTTGTTAAAATAGTACAGATTATATTATTCTATATACCCATGCCCGAGAAGTATAAACCTGGGTTTAATACAAATTAATCTTATTTTTCATAAAAGATAAAATTAAATAATACGTGTAAGTATGTATAATACATTTTCTTTTAAAACTGACGGACTAATTACGAGTACATAATGCATTTTTATTCCCTGTGAGGTATCGTTCTTTATGACCATTATAAAAGTGTACGACTACGCAAAAAAAAATAGTCGCTAGAAGTACAAAGTACTGTCTAAGTAAACATCAGTGCCTATGTTTTATAGACTGGCTACTCTCACGCGGTTTCATCAACTGCTCGGCTCCTACAGATCGTAGCGTGATGTATAATAGCCTATAGCACTCAGGAACAGTGTAGCCATGTATCAGTGAAAGAATTTCGGCTATCCGACCAGCGGTTGCAAAGATTACCCCCTACATACAAACTTACACATTTTACCTCTTTATAATATTAGTATAGATTGTGTCAACCAACCACTAGACAGGTTGACATTCACAAAATTAAAACAAGATTTATTTTCTAAAAAAAAATTACAAACGGAACCCATCTAACCATTCTCATCCCCGCCCCAATCAGTATGACGTTACAATCACTAAGGGGCTCGTAGTTCTAAAAAAAATTACAAACGGAACCCATCTAACCATTCTCATCCCCGCCCCAATCAGTATGACGTTACAATCACTAAGGGGCTCGTAGTTCTAAAAAAAATTACAAACGGAACCCATCTAACCATTCTCATCCCCGCCCCAATCAGTATGACGTTACAATCACTAAGGGGCTCGTAGTTCTAAAAAAAATTACAAACGGAACCCATCTAACCATTCTCATCCCCGCCCCAATCAGTATGACGTTACAATCACTAAGGGGCTCGTAGTTCTATCAGAATCACGCCCAATACGAATTTTGTTCATTTATAATGACGTGATATTTCCAAATAGTGTTGTCATAACACACTAATTACTATCACAAATCGATGTCGATAACAAATAAGATTAAAAACGAAACGTGATCATTTGCTGGCAGTTTTTTCCGTATAGTGGATGCTTTTAGAAACATTTTCTATGTTCATATTGGTTTTTTAATAGGGCGGTAAACAAGCTACTTAGGCGTAGAAAGAATGGGTCTATAGTCATTGTAAAATACATTACAAGCATTATTTAAAGCCTTTATTGACTGCACGGTTGGTGCGGTGGGTGGGCAACTGGCTGCCGTGCAACCTGTCGCGGGTTCGATTCTCCCACGGAACAACTCTTTGTGTGATCCACAAATTGTTGTTCCGTGTCTGGGTGTCATGTGTATGTGAAATTGTATGTTTGTAACCGCACCCACGACACAGGAGAAAATCATAAAGGTGGGGCACCGTTTTTTAAAAAAAAGTAAAAAATAAATGTGTGAAGTCGTGGTATCCACTCATGCTTCGGCACAAATGTGTCGGCTCAACCGGAGTGATTCCACAGCCTCGAAGGAAACCGGCGTGAAACAACCACAGCGTTGTGTTTCATCGTGTGAGTGAGGAACCGGAGGCCAAACCTTCCTCTTTCCCAATCTTTCCTGTTACTCAATCCTTCGTCTGCGCCAATATCTCCCGAATCCTTTATCTCCTCCAATCCCTTCTCAATCCTTTATCTCCTCAAATCCTTAAATCTCCTTAAGGGGGCGTCCACATATTACGTGAGGTGTTTTAGGGGGGGAGGAGGTCGAGTCAAAACTCATCTAATCTTACGTTAGAGAAATGTAAAATCGACAAATATCACGCAATTTTTTTTTCTGATTGAAACAAAAAAAAATTATACAATAAAAAAACACCTCACGTTATTTATCGACGCCCCCTAACCATAATCCCCAAAAGATCGGCAACGCATTCGTAACTCCCCAGTTGTTGCGAGTGTCCATGGGCGACGCTGATTGCTTACCATCAGGTAATCCGTCTGCTCGTTTGACGTCCTATAACATAAAAATGGACAATCAGAACAGACACTATAAAAAAAAAATACAGCGTGTAATCATTTTGTTCAATCAAAAGGGCCTTGACTTTGTAAGTCATTCATTATCTACAAAACATATCTTCATACACGTTTTTCAAAGGATAAGCAGAGTTTCGCTTACAAAAAACCAGTTTTCACTAGTTATATTGTGAGTGGCATGGCTAGCAATGAAAACCTGATTTCCT